CCATATCTTGTACTTTTGTATCTTTTCTCCATTTTGTCATATTCTATGCTGTCAATTTAGTTTATTGCCTTACTTTTTGGAATTATACTTTCTCTGATTCACCTTCCACTTAGATAATTTGTTTAATCTGATTTAGTATTATCCAAATTGGCCATGCTATTATGTTCCTATAACCATTGAAAAAAATTATTTTACTGAATTTTCTTATATTTTGTTTAGGTAGCAACTTTTATTATGCAAAAAATGCTTTTAGACAATTGTGGCTTGGCTTACATTTGTCAAACATATCAGCGATTTGCCCATGTTGCAACTGTCCTTGAAAAGATGGTCTTTCAACTCGCTCAAGAGCCATCTCTTCGTTTACTCAAACATGTAATTCGTTGTTATCTCCGTCTTTCTGATCATCAAAAGTTAGTGTTCATTGACTTAATTTTCATCGCCTATAGTGATTTGCTTATTTAGCTATTACTAGATTGTATAGCATATTCATTCAGTTTAAACTATTTTTCTTTATTTTGTATTACATTACGATTTTTCATAATTGATAACATCCCTCATAGTATGCCTGATCCTAAATATTTACCCTTATATATTTCTACTTATTTCCCAGGGCTCGGGAAACTTTGAAGACCTGTTTGCCAACGCATTTGTCCGATGACACCTTTTCTAGTATCCTCGAGCAGGATATGGCAACTAAGCGTTGGCTCACCCAACTACTTCGCCATCTTCAGATAACTCCTGCTCCTTCAACAGTCATAGATGGAAACCCAATAAGCTCTTCAGCTAGTTCCGTCTCTACTGTCGTTGGATCTGCCTCTTCAACTGGTGTAGCGGCAGATATTGTTGGTGTGAGAGGCTCGACTGATTCTATGGATGCCTCTGGATCTGGAGGGGTTTCTATCACAGCTCTTGGCAACCCTGCCTCGTCTGAGTCCTCTGATGTAATTAATAACTCGGGCTCAGCCGGAAATGCGGGTCAGGCTGGTCCGGTTGGAAGTCTGGTCATCTGTACTAGTTCTGGCAGTGGTAGCATGTCTCAGCGTCTCCATCTTTCTACTTCGGCAAGCACTGTTACAAGTCTAGCTAGTGCTGTGTCTGGAGGTTCGAAGTAGGTTTCTTTTGGCGCGCATAAATATCTCTGGTACTCTCAGCTTGGCTCGAACATTTATTATTTCCTAGGAGTAAAATGCCTATTTGCCATGCCTTGTGTGGAATTCCTCTGTAAAGATTTCGCTTCTTCAATAAGATCCAAAGTTCCTGATAGACTTAAATAGTCAAATTTAACCGTTCGTTGGTTTAGTCCTCTCTTAAGCGACCTTTGCTTGATTATACTATTTTGGCATCTATTTTCTTTCCAGAAGGCATTATTCTCCACCTCCGAACAACTTCATATTTCCTTGCTTTATTTATGCTAACGACTTTTGATCTATGGCTGGAGTTGGATGCAATGAGTGCCATTATCCTATAATCGAACTTCTGAAATTTCCAGCTTCCATTTGCATTTCCTTTTTGCTTTCTTCTGTATCTATGCCTTACCCTTTTACATCCACCTCCATATTCTTTACCACCCACTATTCTCTTGTTGGAACTGTTTACAATGCTTATTTTTAGGCACTACTTGTAAATAAGTGGAATCTAACTTTACGAAATCATGCTCCCTCACCTGCATGTACATGCCGATTAAGCTTAGTCTCCGACTCTGATCATTCTTTCTATAGGTGCATGGAATAAAGCTCAAACTGTGAATATTCTGCATAGGAGATTTACTCCTCAAAGCAACATATGATGAGCTATTCGCTTATTTAATTATTTCATTTTGTCTCTTGATTGTTTCCTTTTGTATTATCCACTCGTTCCGCAGAAGCCTTCTCTTTAGACGCGATTTGTAAAAATTGTACCCATTTTAAGTTCTTCAAATTGTGATTGAGCAATCTTCAACCCCTTTTAGACCCAAACGATTTATCATTGTATACAAATTTACTTGACTCTTCAAATAACCTTACCCTCTGCACGCCAAATACTTGCCTACAACTGACTCAATGCCCATATTTATTTTGAATTTTCTATAATTAAAATAATACTATTACAGCACTTTGACCTTTTGTGCATTCACCTCTTGTTGTTGCTTAAGTTGGTATTATCTTATAGTGCATACGTTCATCCGAATTTATCTGATTAGGCATTTTTT